GTCTGCAGTAAAATTAAGGAACTTCACCATCTTGAGGCACCTTTTGAGTGAGTATAACGGGCGTTTGGTTTAACCTTTACAGCTCCGCAGTTTCACAGCGGACCAGGAACGCTGTGTCTCCAGCCCAGGGTCCTGTGTCCAGGCTGCTGATCCCAACGACTCGTCTGGGGAACAGCTGGCTACCGCGTGGGGAAAGAGGCAATGCATTGGTACAAAGAAAGAGAGGGCAGAAACAGGCAGTTCTTAGCAGAGCTAATGGTATGGGGAAGAGGCTCTGCCTCGTCATCAAGGCTGTTACAATATCGACTGCTGGTTCTTCGGCAGGGCGTTGATTTATCCAGTTACCATGCAGTCAGACGTTCATCCTCTGCTGGAGCAGGGCTTTTTTTCCGAAGCAATGGGCCGAATGTCCCTCAGACCCTCCAGTTTCTGCTATAGGGTGTCTCAGGAATGCAAGGCATTTTAATCAGTTTTAGATCGGTGTAGTCTGGACAGCAGGACACATGTGATAGGTTAAGGAAATTTCTATTTTTTGTTTAAGACGTTCCTCTGACCTGCAAGAGGAAGGGCTCTCAAATTCCTGGCCTGTTGAGGGTGGTTTGTTTCCCATGGTATCTTTGCCAAGTGCTTTCTAATTATGGAATGTGTGTTATTCTGTAGTTCTTTTGCAAGGCAGAAATAATGAATATTATAAAAATCCAGAAAAAAAGATATGCGTCGATAGATGAACTTGACATCTTTTGCTTTTGGAATAATGTAGATGTGATCCACGTTGATTTTTGAACAGCGTAAGCCCAAGCCAGCATCCCTTACCTCCAGATTTATACTGTGGAGGGGAACCTGCACAGCAGAGGGGAGGGCTGGTTTGCTGACGCCGGTTTCACGGGGCCAAACTCTTTTTTGCCAGTAGAGCCGCTGCTTGCGGGTGCAGCTCGGCGAGTCAGGCACCGCTCCGCGAGCCGCCAGAGCAGGGCCGACAGGAAAGGTTTCCAGTCCCCTTGCTTTGAATGTGGAATTGTATGCAGGGAGTCAGCTGCTTATCAGCAACGAGCAGAGCAATCCCAGAGCTCTAATCCAGGGTTTATATGAGTCACTTCTAACTGGCGAGGCCTGGAAAACTTGATTCATCCCTCTGCCTGTAGTTGCCTGTAGTAGTGACACAGACCCAGCCAGCCCTCCGCAGCAGAAATCGCAGACAAGGGCTGGGCTGTCTTGCTGAAAAGGAGGAGCCTGGTTTTATCACCTTAATACTCCGTGATCAAGATCTTTTAAATCAAAATTATGTTGGTTATCTCTGCTTTCCAATTATTATTTTTTTCTTCCTAATTTAGGTTAATCCACAGGCAGGACTGTTTTCTCTGCCAACAAGAGCTGGGCAGTAGTTTGCCTACAGAAAAAAAAACGTTTTGAGTAAAGGTCTTCCCAGTGAATAAATAAATAAATAAAAGGCTTCTCCTGCATAAAAGAGCCAAGGGAAATCTGTAAAAAATGTACTTCTGAATATTGGGCTCTTGTGTATTCTCCTCCTCCGTGGCATTTTCAGTGATGTGTTTTGAGAAGTGTTAGGAGGTGTAAACTACGGGAAAGGTGAAGTTGTTCGCGTGAAGATAACTCTATGCTAATACTTGACTTAAAATTGTAACCTGAGTTTTACTGTCTCTGTTGTTTGGCTGCAACTAGATTGATTCGAGAAATTATGATGGAGAACTGACATTCTCCTGAAGAATTAGAGCTGCCAGGCTACGGCTCTAATTATACTTGGAAAACTCCTGGCTCAGGGCTTGCTGTTGTGATTAGCAATGGCGAACGTGGCTCAGTCTGGGAAATGTAGCTTAGGTTACCTTTGATCTTACCCGTGCTCCCGCGCTGAGCAGGCCTTGGGAGTACGGTCCAGTTCTTCAATGCTCCAGAACAGACCAATGCTAAACCCACCTGGACCGCGTCCCGAGGCTGCCTCCGTTAATAATTCACCCAGCTCCTCAGTTGGTTGATGATAAGAAGCAAATAAAAATCATGCCAAATAGTTGTGCAAGAGTTGAGAGGTACTACGGATAATTTTTCAAAACGGGATCTAACGGGGGCAGAAGAGCTGGTGGCACCACAGCTCTCTTCAGAATCGCTATCCGAGCTTCATCACGAATCCCCGTAACCGCTGGCACCTTCTGCCCGTGCCGAATGACATCCCCCCAGCGCAGGGTCCCGGGGATCGAGGCCTTGGTCAGAGGTAATTAGAGAGGAGTGCTGCTGGAACCGCTGACAACATCTGCCACATCGCTTGGGTTTTAAATAGCCTCCTATCGGAGTAGCGGCCGTGCACAGTCTTGTTTTACTTTAAAAAGCTTTAAAGTAAAGCAAGTAGCTTTTTGATTGAAATCTTTTTACTTTAAATTTACTTTTGATTGAAATCTTTTTACTTTAAAGCTTGACTTTACCCTTTCTGTAATAGAATTTGGAAAGTATGCATTTTGATAAGAAAACCCCCCAAACCAACAACCGTCTTTAAGCAGAGCTGACTCCCAATAGTCCCAGTCAAGAAATACCAGCAGTCAAGCCTGGGAATGGTTTCATGGTTCTGCATGTTCAGTGGTTACAAAACCCAAGTTTTGCCTTTTGGTGCTGCAAAACTTGGGCGACGACTGCCGCGAGGGACCGCTTTAAATGGGTTCCCGCACCTGAGACGCTTGTCAGTGCTGGTTCTCGGCAGACACGTAGCGCAGGGCTTCCTCGCTCGTGCTGCGTGCTGCCTGGGGTCCTGCACTCCATCCGATCGGAGACTAGCACGCCCAAAAAGGCTCGTTGGCCCTTAGAGAAAGAGCATTGGGTTATTTCCGCTTTCTTCTGTTATCCTGTGATCACAAGAAAAGCCTTCCCCACTTAAGGAAAGAAAAATAATATCCTCCAAAAGAGTTTTGTGATGACAAAAGGGCATTATTCAGTCTGCTACCCCTGCTCACCTGCATATGGTGGTGAACTGGCGATGAGAGCCGACATTCAGTGTGCCGGTGACTTCGGCGTGATACCTAAATTTCAGAGGCGTTTGAACAGATGCGAGCGAGTCTGCAGTAGTCTCTTTTCAGAAGATGATGCACAGCAGGAAAGGTTATGTTCCCGTTAATTTTGATAAGGTTCTTGTGGAAAATTAGGTGCTGTTTGGGTCAGGCGGATGTTTGCTCAGTGCAGATGTGGCTGTATGCGTTTAGAGCGAATGACCTCTGAAAATTCAGCTGAGTTTGGAGTGTTAGACTAAGTTTGAGACCTCCTAACCGCAGGTGCAAGTTTTGCTTGCGTGTGTGGGCAGGGCCTTGTACGCGGTGGATAACCCTGCGCCTAGTTTGTAGCCCTTTGCGTGCTCTGGGCGAGTTGCGGCGTCCCACGTTACGGATCGCTCGGAGGGGTCCGTTCGGAGGGTGCTGTAAAGGAGGAGTGGGTGGCAGCGTGCTCTGTGCAGGCGGTGATGATCTGTGGTGGGAGACGGGCAGACAGAAGCCTGTCCTCCTCGTTAGCTGCTACAAGTCAGAGCAAATGGCTGACTAATTTTTTAGTCCCTGATGCTTGGAAATAGGAGGTCCTCTGGCTGAGGGCAGAATTCCTCTCCTTCAGGGCTCTGCCTGGCCTCCTGTGCCGCTGCCGGACAGCAGCTTCGTACGCTCCCGGCGCGGACTGCTTGTGACCTGAAAGGCCTGCAGGCTGGCGTGCGTTGGCCGGGCCCCGTGCCAGGGCAGCGTGCCGTCTCTAACAGACCTAGAGCTTTATTTGCTATACCTGTAGTCCGTTTTAGGATGGACACGTAGCTTAGACCATTGAGGAGCAAAATAATTAGTAGAATCATAGAATAATTTTAGGTTGGAAGGGAGCTGTGGAGATCTCTGGTCCAACCCCACCTCCAGGCAGGGCTGAGTTAGATCAGGTTGCTCAGGCGTTGTCTGGTTGAGTCTTAAACATCTCCAAGGATGGAGTTTCACAACGTCTTGGGGCTCCTGTTCCAGTATTTGACAGCACTTATTGTGAAAAAAAATTTCCCAATATCTCATTGGAATTTCCCTTCTTCTAGCTGGCGTCCATTGCCTCTCGTCCGTTCCCTTTCCACCTAGTGCTAGCAAAGGCTGCATGTACATTTTGATTGTTGTCCCAATGCCCTTATCTCTGGGTGGTGGTGGTTTTTCACGCTCTTGGTGTAGCTATGGCCATTTTTTTGTGGGAGACCACCCCCTGATGGCCTCAGAGACAGCTGAGTGTGCTACTTCTGTTTGCAGGGGCTGGAGACGAAGGGCAACGGTGGCTTGACTGTGTCCTGCTAGGAAGGGCGCTGCTCGGTAGTGCAGGTTAGCGTGTGATGAGGACCTCGGAGGCCTCCATGTAGAGCGGGTGTTAGCCGACACGCTAAGTCCTTGCGAGGGCAGGCAAGGCAACCTGTCTTACCCCTGGGCTCTTTGTGGTCCTTCGATCTGCTGAGAGCGAGCACAAGTGTAATTGTAAGCCCAGGAGATTTTGCTGAGGTTGGGGTGAGTTGGGAGCGGGCCCGGGGAGCCTCTCGATGCTGCTGCTGTTCAGTGCAACAGCTCGCCGTAACGGAGCGTATCGCTGCCTGTCCCGTTTGCTGTGGCTTTGCCTGTTGGGCTCTGCACCAGGTTTTCCAGTGCCTGTGACTGCTTTTCTTTCCGCTTTTCCCTGTCGTGGGGCAGCGGGACTCGGCAGGCAGGCTGCAGGCGGGGGACAGCTGACTGCTTTTCTCTTGGACTGCCTCTCCGAGCCCTGCACGTCCGTCTGTCCTCTTTGGGAGGGGAGGGGAGGAGAGTTCCTCTCCCTCTCCCTGGAAAACGCCCTCTCCAGGATGCTCCAGTGGGAGCTGGTGGGAGGGAGGGAGTTCTGACTGCACCGAAAATGTCATGAAAAAAAAAAAGGCAACTGACAGAAGAGAGAACTTGTCCTCAGATTCCTGCTTTTTGCAGCAGCTTAAACTAAGTCTCCGCAAGTGCTGTGGGAGCTGGCAGGAGGCAGAAATGAAGTTCAGAGGCGCGGTAAGATTTATTCAGCTGTTTTGGTGGTTTTGCAGCTTTCAGTTGTGTATCGAGTCTGAGAAGAAGGGAGGTAAATTTTCAGGGT